TATATATATATATATATATATATATATATATATATATATATATATATATATATATATATATATATATATATATATATATATATATATATATATATATATATATATATATATATATATATATATATATATATATATATATATATATATATATTATCAACAATTTATTAAGCGCATTATAAAATTGAAATTTTTCGAAAGCGCTCTCTATTTTAAATGAAATCAGTGAAGGTCAATAAAGTACAAATCGATAAAGTATTTCTATGTCAAAATGAATATGTTTTTAAGTTCCTCTTAAAATCATCAAGCTTTAGTCCAGGCATTCTGAGCGATTGCGGAAGACTGTTCCAGGCAATTGGTCCTGACACGGCAATATTTCTAGTTGCAGTTTGTAGTTGAGTAGTTGTCACTGCCAGTAGGTTGGCATAGTTTGATCTCAATTTTACACCTGTTGAAGAAGCTGGTTTTTTTAAGATTTTATTTACTAAATATACTGGTAAAAACCCGTTCATAGCCTTATACATAGTCAAACAAATCTTATAGTTGATTTTTTTTCACTGTTAGCCATGGTAGGTCTTTTAAAATGGGTGTCACATGGTCATACTTTCTACGTCCAACAGTTATTTTTGCAGCTCTATTCTGTATCGATTGAAGAAAAGCAATAGATCGCTCTGGTAATCCATTGAACAAGCTATTACAGTAGTCTAACCGTGAATGAACAAACGCATGAATTAGTGTTAGCATGGTTGTTTTATGTAAATATTTCCGAACGCGGTATAACTGGCAAAGCTGATAAGAACATGATTTAGATATGGTTTTTATATGATCTTTGAAAGATAATCTCGAGTCAAAAATACACCTTAGTTTTGTTGCATTTTCACAGAATTGTATTTCATTATTATCAATTTTGACTGAATTAATATTAATTTTAGAAAGCTGTTGCCATGTACCGACAGGTAAAAATTGAGTTTTATCTTGATTCAATTTGAGACAATTTCTTGACATCCATGTACCTATTTTAGTCAAGCATTCAATGAGATTTTCAACTTTACTTTTAAGCAGTTCTGGTTCACTGCTAACTATTATTTGGATGTCATTAGCGTACGCTTGATATGAAAATCCAAAGAATTCTATTACTTCATATACTTCAGCAGTGCACAGTACAAACAGAATAGGTCCCAGGACTGAGCCTTGTGGTACACCAGATGACATTGCTTCAATACCAGATAATTTGTTCCCAAAAAAACCTGCTGAGTTCTGCCAAACAAGTACGAATTGAACCAATTAGCTACAACTCCAGTAACTCCGTAATCATATTGTAGGCGATTCATCAGGATTTGATGGTCTACGCAATCGAAGGCAGCACTCATGTCCAAGAATGTAAACAACGAAACATATTGTTCATCAATTGCATTAAACAACTCAGACATAACATAAAGCAGTGCTGTTTCAGTTGAGTGATAACGTTTATATCCAGATTGAAATACTGGTATTAAGCTATTTTTGTGTAGATGACTCAGTAGCTAACTGGCAACAACTCGTTCAATAACTTTAGAAACGAAGCTAATGTTTGATATGGGTCTGTAACTTTTCATTTCATTCCTATCATCTTTCGTTTTATATATATATATATATTAGGATTTAGACCATATTTGATTTCATTTGTATTAACGCGTGTATTAACGCGTGTATTAACGCGTGTATTAACGCGGTTGATTTTCTTGAAAACTATATATATAAATATATATATATATATATATGTATATATATATATATATATATATATGTATATATATCTTGGGTTCAGACTATCGTATATACAGTTATTAAGTTTTTCAATTTTTTGAACAATTATTTTATCGATATTATCCAATTTATTCAAATTAATAATAAAATTTTTAATTATTTTAGACTGCATTTTTCATATGTGCATTTAAACAAAAGTTTTTTTCGGTAACCATCATCAGTGTAATAGAGTTTATGATATTGTTATATGTAGTTCATCTAGTATTTATAGTATTTTTAACAAAGGAACTCTAAGTTCTATTGTTTCTTTGTGTGAGTAATTTTTTGTTTGTAAGATCGTTACAGCCTGTTGTTGGATGTTTATTACAGGATTTCTATTTTCTATTAATAAAGCCTCTGCCATTCTCAAAATGCTTATATTATGGTTGTAAAATAACACTTTGGTATCTGAGTTTATTATTTCCTATGTTATTTTTATTTGGTGTGAATCCATTAGATGATTTTTTATTGCACCATTTTGTGTATGCATTGTTAATCTTCTTGGCAAAGTCGTAGTAGTAAATCCGATATACTCTGTGTTTCTGTGCCTACAATTAAGGATATAACAATCTAAAGAATATACTAGATGACTGTTCTTCATTATTGATTCTGGCTTAGTATTGCAATTATTTTTAAGAACAAGAGATGAGGTTTTGTTGTTCGTGTAATAAATCCCAAGTTTTAATTTATTGTTTTCATTGATAGTTTTTACGTTTCCGTTTACAATCTTTTTTATTGTTTTCTCATCTGCCTTGAAAGCTGTCGACATTGTATTTTTGTAATAAAGTATTATGTCATTTGTTGTTTTATCAATGTTACTTTTGTTTGTTACGTCACGATCTTTTTAGCTAATAATTTTTTCAATAAATGTTCTTTTGTAACCATTGTTAATTAGCATGTTGGTTGTCCGTTTGAGTTCAGTTACTCTATCCTCTGGATCTGTAGAATGTGTGAAGGCTCAATTAACAAATGATGAGACCATGCTTGTTTGGTAAGCTTCGCTGCATTCACTCCGTCCATTCAAACAAAATCCTTTATTACCTGTTTTTGTATACACGGAAGTTTTGAATTTGTTGTTGATATTGTGTATTAAGGTATCGAAAAAAGGTAGTTTGTTGTTTATGGATTTTTCCATAATAAAATTTAATTTAGATCTATTAAAAGTGATAATTTTTCTATGGTGTCTGGGTTGTTGTATGCCACAAATATATCATCGATATATTTCTGGTTTAAGTTGTGGTGAAATATATTGCCGATATGTCGATGATATATTTATGGCATACAACAACAAAGTCAATCTCCATCTAAGTTTATTTTGACAAAGTCAATATTTCACTATATAAACAGCAGAAAGCACTGATGATGATTCATTCGGAATCGAAATATGGCCTTATTTGCAGCATGAATTCGGAAAATAAGTTTATTTTGAATTTTAATAAACTAAACGTTCACCAAAAAAACTTTAGTGCGAAAAATTGAAAAAACGAACTACAAACATATTAACGCCAAACATTTGGTAGAATTTATAGAATATTGTAAAAAAAAATATATATATATATATATCAATCAAGCTTGTTTTTTTAAGTTTCTGTGTCTCCCAGTTTTGTCTAAATAAATTTGTCTAAATAAATAAAATAAATAAAATCATCGTTTAGCGTCCAGAGACCCAGTTTTCCCGAGAGAGGACGTTGTTTTCTTTGCCATCAATTTTTTGCGCCAAATTAGGCGATCAGTTTTATCCACTTCAGTTAAATTTAGAGCTTTCATGTCTTGCTCGATTGTTTGCGACCAGGACTTCTTTGGACGGCCTTTGGGACTTCAACATCTGCAAGAGAAGTTATGGCACTGTTTCCACTTCGTTTGACACGACCAAACCAGCGCAGACGGTGTTGCCGACATTCATCTAAACCAGCACGACGCAGGATTTCGGTAGATTTGATGTGGTCCTTCATACTAATTCGTTGCATCCATCGGAGCATTTTCAGATCGGTTCGGTGAAGTTGTTTTTCCAGTTTGGTTGTCATTGGCCATGTTTTTGCACCATATATCAACACCGGACGTATCATAGAATTAGAAAGTTTTGATCGTAGTAGTAGTGGGATGTCACGCCGCATCAATATAGAGGCAAGGAAATGCCATTTATTCCAGGCTGCACGTGTGCGTGCTCGAATGGCAGCTCCAGCTGTTCCAGTACAATCCAGAACATCCCCTAGATATTGAAACGATGTGACTTTCTCTACCTTAATGACTTCAAAAACATTTCTTTTTCGTATTTGTTGTTGTGGATTGATGCAAGCAGACAAACAAAATTGGACACTTTAGATAAATTACCAATTATTTTTGAACAACGTTCGTGACACCACTGGTTACACTGCTGACACTTGATTGAATTGTTACCTACACCAGCTTTACAAACTGAACAGGGCCATCGTCCAGTAGCTGTGGATTAGATGGGTTCACCAGTGTTCATTGCTTTGGTTTTGCTGATGTTGACTTTGAATCCATGATCGGCGAGTCTGGTGTTCCAATCTTCAAACATCTGTGCTGCTGCGTATCGGTTTTGTGATTTTGTCCGTCACAGTTATAAATAACAGTGGACTGAGAATCGAGCCTTGGTGAACTCCAACGCCGATGTCAAATGCATCTGTGTTTCCAACCGTTGTGCTGACGAGAGTCTTAGTATTCGTATACATTTCCATCACAAGTCGAACAAGATATTCTGGAATGAGTTGTCGACGTAGACTCCACCTGATTGCTTCACGGGGAACTCGATCAAATGCTTTTTCAAGGTCTACAAAAATGTGTGATAGTTGTTGATGCTTTGCGAGGTACTTCTCTTGCAGTTGCCGAATGATGTGAATTGCATCAATTGTTGATTTCCCCGCTAGGAAACCAAATTGATAATTTCCGATTGTAATGCACGGCGTTAACCTTCTCTCAATGATTTTCTCGAAAATTTTCAGGGAGAGTTCTAACAGACGTATACCCC